ATGTTATAAAATTGATTGTGGTGATGGTTGTACGACTCTATGACTGTATTAAAAACCACTGAATGGCACTTAAGGGGTGAATTGGATGGCGTGTGACTTATATTGCAATAAAGCTGTTATTTAAACACGTGCATGCGTGCACACGCACACAGACACGCACACGGCATGACCCTCCTCCTGCTCCGCCTTCGGTGGTTCATGGCACATTCGGTGCTTCAGTCATGATCTATTAGAGCAGAATCTCCTGTGACTCAGACTATGCAGACTGAATCTGCTATTAAATTTCTATCTGCCAGCCCTTATTGGCTTAGAACCTAAGTCTTTCACATTCACGGTTTTGTATCTTTCAGAATCCTTAGCAGAACGCATGGGTAACTCCCTGGTATTTTCACAGGTTGTCGAAGCTCTTAGGAGTTAAGTCACCTGGGCCCCATCTCTCTCTGGATGGCCCGGAAAAGAGCGCACAAACCTTCCAGCCCTGCCCCTGCCTTCCGGTGCAGGTGGGGGCTTCTAGCTAGGCCCATACTTAGGCCTGGTCTCCTTCCCCCTCAACCCTCCCACCGGATTCAGCCTTGCCGCGCGGGTTCCTGCCGTCTCACAGTGGGAACGGGAGGCAGGAAGCTCAGGAAGCAGCAGGATGGATGGAGGATGGCTTCCCAGTGTCCTCAACTCTCCCTGAGGTTTTGATCAAAGCGGCTGAAGGAGACAGCAGCGGACCCACGAGAAGAAAGGGGCTTCTAAGAAGTACTGTTAAGGGTCCATAACTTCCCTCAGGGTACACATAAGTTAAGACATTCAAACAAAAGTTATTTGTTGCTTCGAAATTATTTTTGGTTACACAAACTTTGTTGTTTAACTGACACTACTCAGATTAAACCACATGGCTCACTGTTTTGTAAGTATATGTATTGAAAGTTTGTAGCTTTAAAGACATCTCTTCTTGACATGATTCATAATCTTATATAAATGGTCTTCGGGAGACAGGAGCCAGAATTGCTCTGCGCTTTGGTTTAAGAAGATAGGAGGGGCTGGACGCAGTGGCTCACGCCTGTAATCCTGGCTCTCTGGGAGGCCGAGGCAGGCGGATTGTTTGAGCTCAGCAGTTCGAAACCAGCCTGAGCAAGAGCGAGACCCTGTCTCTACTAAAATTAGAAAGAAATTAATTGGACAACTAAAAATATACAGAAAAAATGAGCTGGGCATGGTGGCACATGCCTGTAGTCCCAGCTACTCGGGAGGCTGAGGCAGGAGGATCGCTTGAGCCCAGGAGTTTGAGGTTGCTGTGAGCTAGGCTGACGCCACGGCACTCTAGCCTGGGCAACACAGTGAGACTCTGTCTCAAAAAAAAACAAAACAAAACAAAAACAAGATAGGAGGGCAAAGCCAGCTGGTAAAGTCATGATCGTTGAGGGGTTCCTTACAAAAATGTTAACAGTTTCCTCTGCGTGGTAGGATTAGGGTATTCTTTTCTTTGTACTTACCTGCACTTTTCAAGTTTTATTTGTACAATGAATGAAGTAAACCATTAATGAAACTTCCTTAGAGTCAGGGTTATACCTGCGTGCTACCGAATATCAGATCCTGGGGAAAAGTACAATGGACGCAGAAAACAGAATGTCTTAGCTCAGAGCTCATTGGAGTTTCCAATACCCAAGCTTGGGGTCAGAGTTGGTCCCAAAGCCCACGTTCAGTACTTGAGGGCTTCCAGTTCCAGCTACCTCCTTGGGACAGGCCTTCATACTCATGGGCTGAGGCTCTACATTTTGGAGAAGACCTTCTTTTATGGACAGCATAAATGTAAGAACAGAATTACAAAGATCCCTATGCCAGAAGGCTAGATCTGGATTCTAATCCTGTTCCGTTACTGAAGAGGTGAATAACTCCTTTACCCGTTAAGTGAGGGATGGTTAAGGGAACTAGGAATATTTAGACCGAAGATGATTTAGAAAAAGTGGCAACTATCATCAAGATGGCAGCAGGTTGTCACCTGGGAGAGCCCTGGGGGACAGGCCAAGGGCAGCACTCGGTGAAGTTAGAGCGAGGCAAGTTTTACCTGATTTAGGAAGAACATTCCATTGAAGATGTCCATCCTGGAATGGACTGCCTCCTGAGACATTCCCGCCATCCCCAGAAGCTGGATCTCACTGTTCCAGATGCTCGAAAGGCCCTTCGGTTATCCGGAGAGGGCTGGACCAGGTCATCTCTGCCATCTCTAACCCAGCCTTCCCGATTCCACAGTCCAGGGCTCTTCTCACTGATTCCAGTTTGTTTTGGCTTATTTTTATTGGAGCATGTTCTCCTATAGCCCCCAGGCTGACATGTAGCTCCAGAAAAAAGTATTTGATTCAGCGAATCGTTGATTGCCCTGGCACCGAGCTGGAAGTGTTTCCACCTCGGGAACTCAATGTTCAGCCAGTGTGGCTGCTCGGGGGCTGCTGCCCTCTTGTGGAAATGAAGAAAACTGCTGAGAAAAGTTATCCAGATGCGTTTCGAGGCTCTTCTCTGCACACACGCCCCCGACTTACCTCCCTCCAAAATCTTAACTTTTTCATGTGAGCCCTGAAGTTCCTGACTTCAGCCTGTCAGGGCCTTTGGTTTACATTCACATTATCATTATGTCCCCTAAAATACCGGATTGGAACTCTAGCCACATACAAAATCCTGGTTTCTAGAGAGGTCAGAATTTGAGGACACCATTCTGACGTAGGGAGTGGCCTTTGGATGTTAATCTAGTACTTTGGAGAGAGCACTAGACTAAAGACCCAGATTCTAGCCCATGTTCTGCCATTCCCTATGTGACCAAGTCATTTTTTATTAATTTTTTAAAAAGAATCTGCGGGGAAGGGGCTGCATGACCGCTGCTATCTGAAATGCTATAATTTATTAAATTTATAAAATGCACTAGGAGTTTGGAGATGAAATTCTTGGGAGAAAAGTGGTATATCACATGTGCAATACTTACACAGCTGCTAACCACAGCCAACAGCCCTGTGCTTTATTCCGGGCTCAGTACCCTCAGGCTCCTGCAAAGGAGACTGGCCAACCCCCGATAATGCTCATCTGTGCCTCCAGCCTCAGAGACAGCCACAACCAGATGCTTTGTTTGTTCCCTAAATAGGAGCTACGGCAGACTGATCAGGGAGGGCTCAACAATTCCCAGCTTGCCCACGTCTGAAAATATTTAATACATCTTCTGGGCAGGCTGGGCCACTCTTGCTGAGGATACGATGCGCTGTGGCCCACGAGTGACTGGAAGTGATTTCTGTTTCCAGCCATCAGTCACCTGCTCCACGTTGCCCCTCAGGGCTTCACACGGACGAGGGGCAGCTAAGGACACCACACGGTTAACCTGGGCACCGGGCAGGTGTTCAACCCCAAACTGGAAAACGGTTTGGATACAGTTAAAAGCTGAGGAAGCAGCATGACTTTCGTTAAAAAAAAAAACCCATTTCCTTATACTTCAGCTTTCCCACAAAAGATAATTTTCCCTCAAGAGCTGCCTTGCTAAGTTTTTCTTATTGTAGTCTCTAAATGACATTTTCAGTTTAGTCCGGAGAACTATTTTTTGCTGGCCCCTAATACTGAATTAAGCTAACTTTCTCTTACTAAACAGAAAATTCCAAAAGCAGACGATGTTTTGTTGACCTCAGAAAACTTGCATCCCACACTTGCTGAAAATAAAACATCTTAGTGAGGTATTTATTACATTAGTCTGAAAACGTTTTTTTCACTCACATGCAATCTCACACACTGAAGTGACAGTCAACTGCAAGCAATAAATGTTTAATGAGTCATTTAGTCAGCCTGATCTTTGAAGATACTGTCTTTTTAACTGGTCCCTTAAAAAAAAATTAGGTCTTATAGCTGGTATAAAAAGGCTACCTTAGAAAATGTTTTCATTAAAAAGTTAAGTTACAAACTGAAGAGTGCTACTTAACCAACTAATCCTAAGTGTTAGGTAAGAGTAGTAAGGCAAATCTGTCTTAATAAAGGTTTATGAATAAAAGTCACCTGCTATGGACCACGTAATTGTCTTAGAGTTTTAGATGCAAAATCTCTAGTCCTTGTAACTCTAAAAGGCATATAAGCAGACTCAAATTTATTAAATGACTAAGCAAGGCCATAGGGTTAGTGGCAGAACCAGAAAGAGAACTCAGGTCTACCTAGTACTTTCTATGATTAAGCTTTTTCCTCTACATCTCCTGAAAGCTGCCTTGAACTGAAGAGGTGAGAGAAATGGGAGGTCTCCATGATTCCAAGCCCTGTGCTTTAACCAGGTTTTCTATCTATCTATCTGTTTATTTATTTTTGAGACAGGGTCTTGTTCTGTTACCCAGGCTGGAATGCTGGAATGCCGTGGCATCATCATAGCTCACTGCAACCTCAAACTCCTGGGCTCAAGCAATCCTCCTGCCTCAGCCTCCTGAGTAGCTAGCACTACAAGTACACACCACCACACCTGGCTATTTTTTCTTATTTTTTGTAGAGACGGGGTCTCTTTCTTGCTCAGGCTGGTCTCAAACTCCTGGTCTCAGGTGATCCTCCCACTTCAGCCTCCCAAAGTGCTAGGATTATAGGCGTGAGCCACCACGCCCAACCTAGGTTTTCTTTATATACCAGACATCCATTTAAGGTATTATGGGAAGCAAGTTTTGGCTCTGTTCAATATATTTTTAATTTTATTTTTACCATCTTTCATTCATAGCAGATAAGTTCTGGAGGTCCTGAAAATACTTGAAACAAAGAATGCTACGGAGCACTTGCATTACAGGAACTCTGGGCCCTGAATCCAACTATGGCATGTTGTAATACTATTGCTGAGAAGAGCGTGAAAAAGCAGCCTGGAAGACAGAAGGGTATAAAACATGGGCCACGGCCCTGCAGTACATTGGTTCACAACACCGGTTATGATGCTCAAAACTGAATTGAAGAGATGCATTATTATATATTTAATTCTTGTTGCTTTTCTGATTAGAAGACACAGAGTCACTTCAGGTAACTTCCATTTAATTTAACATTTATTTTCATTTTATATCCAGATATCACATTTTCTACATTAAAATATAATCATGCTGACTCCCCCCACCCCCTAGACCCTCAGAGAAAAAAGTGGAGAACTTTACACAACTTGAAAGATGGAATGCACAGAGTAGGGAAGTTGCTATTGCACCCAAGTCCAAGTAACAAAGAACACAAAGAGACCAAACAGCAGACGGGGCAGAACTGCACAGAAGACAGCTCAGGGCTCACACCAGAGAGGAGCAGAAATTAAAACTCTAAAGCTGTTAAATGCAATCACTTGTGCCACAAGATTACCCTGAAAAGGTAGAGACAGGTCAAAAAGCAGAACCAAATCGGGGATTTTCCAAAGGCTGCTGTCTAACAGAGTTTAAAATATCCATAAACATAAGAGCTTTCATTTCCCACCTTGCCTTCGGCATCTGGTAAACACTTTAGAAACTTAAACCACTGTTAGCACAACAGAATGTAAAATGGATATAGGTTTTTCTTTTTTCTTCTTTTATTGTACCCCAAGCAACAACTCTATTAGCTATTTTAATCACATGATTCCTCTGCATGGGAACCCAGTAAATGTCACCAAGACAAGGCATCTTGCTGCTATCAGGTAAATGCCAGCTGTGCAAAAGTTGCATGATTCTGTGTGTTACTCAGAGGGAGAACTGTTAAGACACATGAGTCCCAATGCATATTACTACATAGGAAAAGGAAACTCCTTTTGCTAATCTATTCACTGTACAGGAAAGAGCAAGTAGACAGTGAAAACCACCTGCTTAGAGCAGCAGCACAGACCCACGGGCACACAACCACCCGAAAGAAAATACCCAGGAAAGAGCCTCTTGGTGGCTCTTCTGAAAGGAGATTTCTTTCAGGCCTGATCTTGCCCCTAATTTAGAGACCAAAGCATTGTAACTTCAGAGTGAAACTCTCCAGGGGGTTGAGAGGTAAGGTCTAAGAGACCCAAATGATGAGGACATTATTGCCTAACTAACTACACCACTATGTACAAATACATACATCGATAAGAAAACTCTATCCCTGCAGCTACTTTAAACAAAGCACTGAAAACCCAGGTTTTATGAATAGGGGATATTTTAAAGTCTGTTAGCAGTTTAAAACATTGCAACACTGGCACAATATGTTACCTATTCTTTGTTTTTAATTACAGGGTAACACGGTAAACTCCAACACAAAAGTGGGGCTGGGGGAGAAAGGAATATAGAAAACAGGACCAGTATTTCACAAGAGGACCAAGCCAGTGAGGAAGCAGCAGCTAATGCTTGGCAGAGTCTCGAGGGTAAAACTCGCTCAGGGTGCTCTGAGGGATTCTCTTCAGCATTTCTTTGGGGAAGATTCGGAGCAGTTGCCAGCCAATGTCCAAAGTCTCATACACAGTGCGATTTTCATAAGGACCTTTAAAAATTGAGATCGAATTAATAAAAGCAAAGGACTTCCAACTTAGCAGTGTTACTCAGTATTTACTGTGTTACATGACTGGCAGTGTGAGCATTAAATACAAAAAAAGGAAAAAGTTAGGACTCTCAAGACTAATTGAGACTGAATGGGGACATGAGGGTATGAACAGAAAGTACCACAGGGATGGGAGGAAAGGAGAGGCCCGTGGGCTGGAGACAGGGAGGAGTCTAGGGGGTGGGGCTGGGGAGTTGATGTGGGCTTTGACAACTCAGTAGGATCCGTGAACAAGAGAAACTAGACTCAATGTTGTGTCCAGAGATCAGTGAGAAAAGCAGTCTCTCTAGAACAAAGGTTTGCACAGAAGAGAAAAGGCTGAATTTGAAGAGACTAGCACGGATGCTTAGAAAGCCCTCAGTGTCAATCGAGCACCTAAACACATGTACAGGCCTGTGGTTTTCAAAGTTGTTGTAACTATTTCTAATAGTAGAATCATCTTCATCCCCCGAATAAATTTTATTGTTCAACACAAGATTCAAGAGTGGCTAGAGTTCTGGGTTCTTTTCTCTAGAGGAAAACTTTACTTTTTAAGGTACTGAGGTTCTGCATTAAAAACAAAACAAAACCAACAATCATGTGTATTTTGGGGATTTTAATATCAATAATGCATTGCATAACAGAAAAGCACGCAAATCCTAAGTGTACAGCCTGAAGCATTATTCCAAAGTAAAAATACATGTTGTAACTACCACTGAAGTCAAGAATAGAATATTACTAGCGTGAGCAGGGGTGACAAGAGAGACCAAACCAAACAGCTGGAAAACCCTACATATGCTATGTAAAGAAAATCATTGTAGGCTGTTTTTAGTAGAGGGACAACCAATAAAATTAATAATAAAGCTGCCCTGGCAATGGTGTACAGGGAGTCAGGAGACTGGTCAAAATGCTGGCAACAGTGGCCAAGGATGATGGGACAAAGGCTGGACCAGGACCTTGAGACTCAGCGTGTGGTCTGATGCAGTGGTCAGAGACCAGCAGCTTCAATATCAACCAGGAACTCAAAGAAATACACAATCTCTGGCCCCAACCAGATCTATTGAATCAGAGTCTGCATTTTAACAAGATCCCCGGTTGAGTCAAAGCATATTAAAGTATGAGAAACACTAGACTAACGTATTATAATGGAGATGAAAACAGAATAGGGTAAGACATTTTAAAGAAAAACATCACAAGTTCACATATAACTGATCACTGGGGAGTAAGTGAAGAAGTTTAAGAATAATACCCAGTTACCGAGCTCGGGTTAATCAGGACAAGAATCATGCCAGAGCAGGCAGAAATTGCAGAGAGCACTGTGGCACTGCTAGACAGGAGCTGAGCTGGGAAAAACCTTTGGTTCTGCCCATACTGAGCCGGAGGGGGTGGTGCCGAAACCACAGCGTCCCCAAGGCAGGTGGAGCTGTGGGAATAGAGCAGTTGAGTCCCCAGCATGGTGAAAAGTCAGTAACGGGAAAAAAGCACAGAAAAACAGTAACTGAGTAGGAGCAGGAAGGTAAGAAACGGGAAAAGGAGATGAAAACAGATGATCAGAAAAGTCCCAAGCCCCCAAAGCCCGCAAAGCCAAAAGAGATGGCTGGTCGAGGAAAAGTCATGAGGAAGGACAAGTGGCAATGAGGGCAGCACAGCAGGCGGCCAGCGGACAGAGGTTTCGGAAGCGCAACGGAGGAAGGAAAAAAATAAGACGGTAGCTAAATAACTGGATAGGCAAGTTAAGATCCTTCCCAAGATGTTCAGAAGGCAGAGAAGGAGCCAGAGGGCTGGGAAGACCTCCTTCTCTAATCAGAGGGATACTGTACAGAGACCAGTGTACATCCTCTCAGAGTGGGAAAGGAGGCTTCAAAACCACATTATGAACCTTTATATGTTAGTAGGAAAAATGACAGTCATCTTACCCTGAGCAATAAAGTTCCTCTCAAACTTCTGCAGAAATTCCAAGTAAAGAAGATCGTCTGAGGTAAGAGCTTCTTCTCCCACTACAGCTTTCATGGCTTGTACATCCTTGCCAATAGCATAGCAGGCATACTGAAGAGAAGACAGGCTTGTATGAGTAGACAGAAGATTCTATAAATGTTAACAGTAATCTGGGATATATAAATGCATTGCTGTAGTTTTCTTCACGAGATACCATGGAAGGAATGTACAAACACAATTCACATAAAGTTCACATGAAAGTACCAGAAGGACTTTATTATTATAAAGCATTCTTCCTCGGAAAGGAGCCTTTAGGCATGCAATACAGAGAGAGACATTAATAACATTTTACAAAAAATATACTTCCTCAATATGTCAATGAGCTTACAATTCATAGAGCATTTGAAATTTAGAACTCC